TCCCTAACCAAATTATTTCTCCATTATAGGATACGGCCATGAGCAAACTCTGGTTCAAACAGGATGATAAGTTTTTCTTGCCTAAGGCTTGTCTCAACTTTGAATTTTTCAGGTATGTATGCTGAATCTAGGTACAGCTTCTTATAAAAATCAGCAGTTCCATTCCTAAAAGTGGAGCCTCCCTATCTAGAAATAAAAAGAATTAGAGTTATTTTACCCATATGAGGGAAGACCGCTGCTGGTGAGAGATACCATAAGAGGCCCAGCCGTGGTAGCTCCTGCTGTTCATCTACGTGGGAGGCCTCAGCCCCGTGGGAGGCCCAGCTTGGATTCCCAGCCCAGCCTGAAAAGCTCAGTGTAGTGGGGCGCCTGCGGTCCCCGCTAATCAGGAGGCTGGGACAGGAGGGTCGTGGACACAGCAAGACTCTTTTTATTTTTTAAAAGTTATTAAAGAAGTTATGTGGTTAATTCTTCTTCCTTTTCATTGATGAGTAGACCTTGAACTGAAAGGACCTGTTTTAGCTGTCATTAGGAGGGTCTTCCTGGCCTTCAGGATCTCGGAAGCTGGAGAGGCTATAGCTTCATCCAAAGGCTCACTGAGGAAAGAGTCAGCAGTGTGCCGTGTTTTGTCCTCTGGGCTTTGTTTTCCTGGAGCTTCCCCGGAAGAAGAGGGAGTGGTTACCACGTGCTCTTGGGTCCTGTCCGTCCTTTCATCGTCTGCAGCCCTTAGATGTTGCTCTCTCTTTTCCCAGCCTGGTTACTTTAAATTTCCAATAAAAAGGAAGAAGAGGTTTAGTAAGATTGTTTAAACACACTACCATGACAGTGATTTCTCAGCAGGTCTCCAGTTTATCCTCGACTCCCTTCACTTACTTGTGTGGCAAAATAGTGTGTCGCCCCGTTTAAATTGAACTTTGTGAATTAAAGATTGTATTCCTAAAATACAGACATTTGTGTTTGTGAAATAAACCTATCATCATATAATAATATTCGGTATGATGATTTGCTTTCTCATTAGTTTTTATTCAGTTGGCTCGACACGAAATTAAAGCTAGTCGTGTTTTTGGTTCTTTTTTTGTTGTTTTTTTTTAGAGATTTTTACTATAGGGTGCGTGTGTCCACCAGAAGGACAGAGAGAGACAGAAAGCTAGAAATCACCCCCCAGGGAGGATGGCCACCTCTCAGTCCCTTCTCCATTCTTCTCTTGGAATTTTTTGGGCATGCACACACATGCACCTGGCATGAGTTTTTAGCTGCTGGGTCCACGACTCCAATCACGGTTGACTACATGGGAGTCCAGCAACATAACCATTACGCTATCTGCGGGTCGCACTGGTTATGTTTTAAAGTCTATTTTATTCATGAGAAAAAGTACATGCATGTGTACATGCAGTTGACAGAGACATGGACACCTTTGACAGGGTCTGGTCATGCCACTGTCCCTGCCCCCAGCCCTCTAACTCGTCAGGGTCTTGGGCGTGCACACCCTCCCAGTCTTTTCAGGTAACCACAGAATCCGAACCCATGGTCAGCCATGTGGCTTCCAGCACACAGTCTGGTACTCTGCTGCCTGCCCCACCAAGGCTGGAAAAGTGAAAAAGGGTCTCTAAGTAGAAAGCTAATATTACACCAACAAATATGTTGAAATTGTGGGATGTAAGTATTGTATCTTATAGCATGTGATACATAGTTTATCCGTAACTGTGATGAGAACTTTAACTTTTTTACGCCAATCATGGGCTGTCAGCTTATGGCTTATTTGTTGGTCAAGAACATTATAAAGCTGCTTTATATTTTGGTAGTTGAGAGTGATATTTTAATACTCTGAGAAGCTTGTCACCACTATGCTCTTGGCCTCTAAGATTATTAATTTATTCAGAATACCTTTGGAGAGACCATTTGATATGTCGTGGTCCCCGAACTGCCTAGCAGAATCTCCAGGTTGAAAATGTCTGCCTGGCACAAATCTTCCCCTCTGTGATCTGATTTTCCTAGAGAAGACCACTTTTTGGTTTCTCGTACATTTTTAATAGAAATTTTCTTGTGGGGGCCAGCAGATGGTGAGATGGTGTGGTGGTAAGGGTGCTGGGCTCCCACATGACCAACTGTGATTCAGGTCCCACATGGTCGACCATGTTTCAAGTCCAGGCTCGCTTGCTCGCTTGCTCTCTCTCTCTCTCTCTCTCTCTCTTTTTCTGGTGAGCACCTGCCCTATAGCAAATTTAAAAAATAATAACAATAATAAATATAATTAATATTAATAAATCTTTAAAAAATTTTCTTATCCTTTTCATCTTTTTAGAAATCAGATTATGAGAATTTAGTTACAGTTTTTAAAGCCTTGTGATTCATAGTTAAGCATACAGTATGTGATTATAAAACAAAATTTTGGAGAGCCTTTGTGTTCACCAGAGAAAGAGAGAGAGAGAGAGAGGGACAAAACATCCTCAAACGAGTGTGGTCACACTGCAGTCCCTTCCCTCCATTTTTCCATCCTGTAAGGATTTGGAGCATGTGTGCACATATGCCTGGCATATTTTCCAAGCTCTAGGGTTGGGAATCAAACCCTCTTGGGCATGTCCGTTCCAGTTCCCTAACCACTAGGGCACAGGGTCAGCCCCCAAATAATCTATTTTTTTTCCAAATAATATATTTTTTAAATGAAAAATGATGCAGAGTTTAAACATTCCAGCTGAATCCAGTTCTCCTTTAAGTTAGTTGAGGGCTCCCCAGTTCTGGAGCACAGCTGCTGTGGACGCAGCATCTCCGGGCCTTTCTTGGAATTGCATTCTGACCTTGTGCCACGGGGCTTTGAACTGCTGGGCTCATGCTCCCTAAACACGGGGCTGCAGCCTTAAGACCGTGCTCAGCTCCGCTTCGGTTTCAGTGGTTTTGTTTTCGTGAATTGTGCCTATGAGTATAGGTGATCTGTCCTCATGTAAGATAACCAAAAAACCAAATGGCGGAACATTCCGTTAGATTTTTCATTTGGAGAATTTGTATGGCTGTAGAACTTCCGCTTTGATTTTAATTCTCTAAGTAGCTAAGCATTTTACCCCTATTTTTGCTGTTTTAAAGATTAGCTTTGATAAAATTACCAGCTTTGCTCTCAGGACATTAGTGATGTTTACTGTCTTTCAGATAAAGCGAGACTTTTAATTTGCTACCAAACAAGCCAGGTAGGGCTTTAGCGCTAGCAATTTATTCATCTGGGAAAGTTCTCTCAGCTCCCCAGACAGCTCCAGGGCTTGCTCTCCTGCTTCCTTCAGGCCTCGGCCCAGATGTCACGTGCTGAGTGGCCTTGATTGACAATGTTTTGTAAACGAGCACTCTTCCTTCCCTGGTGCCTTAACCACACCGCTGGCCCCTGTGCCGCTTCCTCACAGTGCGGCTACCTCCTGATAGATCAGCTTGAAGGCTGTTTTCCTCTCTAACCAGACCAAGCTCTGTGAGAGCGGGACATTGCCCGATTCGTTGCCCCTTCACTCCCCCTGCCTGGAGGAGAGCCTGGCGCTCTAGTAAGGCTGTAGCACATTTTGTTGAGTGAGTAAATCTTTGACTTGCTTCTGGGAAAGGTAAGCAGTGTCATTTGGCCCAGCGAGTTGGTCATCTGACTTGCATCTGATTTTCAGTTCTGCTGTTAGGAAGTCCAGGTGTCACAAGAAAAATTGTTTCTTAGCTGGGAATGTCGAACTCTGTGGTTCTATTTAATGCTCGCACTCTGTAACTGTCCTCTTTTGTCGCTCTCTCACCAAAGTGTTTGCCTGTTTTAATGTTTGTTCCTCGTCCTGGCTGCAGTTACATAATAGAAACGATCAACTCTCTTACGACAACACTCTAGGTTTATTGGTTTAGGGAGAAATGTCTGGGATAAGCTGACATTTTCACGAGTCTCACTTTTTCTCTTTTAAGTTCGTGTAATTACAGCACACCAGTTTCTCAGTCTCACACTCTTGTCCACCAAGGGTGTGACTTGCTTGGCGAGAGAAGGAGGGCGTGCAAGTGCCGTGTCAGCCCTGTCAGCCACTCCTCCTCCTGCCGGCCTAAGCACAAGCACGTGTTTGGGCCCATTGCTGTGCTTCACCGGCCCTGTGTGTCTGACTTGTTCTGTCATACTACCCAGGCCGATCAAGGCCTACTTCGTCCTCATTGCCCCAAGGGCGCACCTGCCCACCCGCGCACACACGGCACATTTCAGGCTTCTTTTTCAGACATCCTGGTTTTTTTCCTTGTGCGAAGGAGAAACAGACTCAAGAATTCAACCATATCCACAGGAAATTGTGTTACCCAGTGTCCAATTTCTTGATCCACCTCAGAAGGCCACCTCACATTGGGAAGTGATAAATCAGCTCTTTTCCTGTCAACATTTTCTTCCAGCCCATTTGCTTATGTGGACCCTTTGCACTGTAACATGGCCTATTTGTACCTTGAGCTCCTCAAAGACTCACTCAACGAGTATGCATATGCAGCAGAGCTAGCGGGCTTGAGCTATGACCTCCAAAATACCATCTATGGGATGTATGTAAGTACCCACGTCTTAGAGCCTTCCACTCATCAACATTTTTTATATTGATTTGATGGAAGCGTTTTTGATTGAGGGTATGAGTATGAATTTCTTTTAAATCGTGATGGCTAATTTTATTTCCTCATCATTTAATTTTTAAGTTACCTTTTATTCTGAGTTTTTGGCTATTCACCATTCATAGCGTGCAAATTTTCCTTGATTTCTTTTTCTGTTTTTTTTTTTTTTTTTTTAACATCTTTCATCAGATTATCATATTTTTCTCCTCAAACAAAATTGGACCCTAATTGATGTTTAGAGCTCACCCATTCTGTATCTGAAGTCTTGCTCTTTGGCAAAAGGAAATGAAGTCTTCCTCGCTGTGTAAGACATAAGGTTGGCTTGTACTATTTCCCTAGAACTCCAGATCATGAGGCTGCATATCCATACTCTTCGGTCATGTTTCTTCATTACCATGCCACTGCTTGAGGTATCAAAGCATTTCTTTTGTTTTTCTTTTTGTTAGTCGCTACATTTATGCTGATCCTCTCCATTGCAACATGACATACCTGTTTATCAGGTTATTGAAGGATGATTTAAAAGAGTATACATATGCAGCACGCCTCTCAGGTTTGAGCTATGCCATTGCATCAGGAATGAATGCAATACTTGTAAGTAAAATGAAAACCAGAGAAAAGGCACCACACCGTTTAAGCGTTATGTCGAGTTTGGGAAAACTATTAACTTCTGTGTTTTTAAACAAGAAGGTTGACTTTTTTTTTTTCCCCGTGCACCTTTTTAATGATTGCAGAATTCAAATAGTATTAGTTCCACTAATGTGAAGTTCAGTGCATCTTGTGAACATATTATGTGTGCTCCATTTATTTGCATGTTCCTCTGCTTGAGATGGTTAACATTATTAATCCCAAAAGCATGTTGTTCTTTCCTTTTTTTTTTTTTTTTTTAAGGATATTAACAGCTGTAAGTGAAAGATACCCATGGTTATTGTTGTGGTGCTTTTATTTTACTTATACGTAAAATCTCCCTTTATTTCCTTAGATAATAGTGGGAAGTTCCTGTGTTGAAATACACCTGACATTTTCTTTCTTTCTTTCTTTCTTTCTTTCTTTTTTTTTTGTAGCATGCATCATTAACTACTTTACCTGTGCTTTGAAGGAAGCACTATTGAATGCATCCCAAGAAATAACCAGATCCTTTCTCCTAAAGTGTTCCAGATACATTTTCAAACTTACTTACATCTCAGTTCCAAATGAACATCCTTTTATGGCACACATTCATCTTCACTTTCCTTGAAAATGGATGTTTTAGTAAAAACTGAAATGGGAGCATTTCTGAGTATTCCTTCTTAAAAGTCTTTACAAAAGATTTCAGAACTACTACGTTTTACTTATTTTGCAGTGACTTTTTCTTCACATGGATAAATTTTCTTGTAGCTTTTGTTTAATGTGTATAATCTAATCATTCTTTTTTTGGTTTTGGTTTTGGTTTTTTGCCATAGGGTGTGTGCCTTTGCCAGGGAGAGCGAGGCTGAAAGGCACAGAAAGAGAAGGAAAGTGAAAAACCACTTCTCAGAGGGGGTGGCCATTCCACAATCCTTTCTCCTCCATGCTCCTCTCAGGATTTGGGCACGCACACACATGGGTCCCGCCTGATTTTTAAGTTGTTGGATCTGGGACTCAAACCCGGTCAGCCATGTGGGAGTCCAGCACCCTAATCACTATGTTACCTGCTGGCCCTAACCTATGCATTTTTATAGTCCATGGAAAGTAGAAACCTAGAGATCAAAATTAACTCCGAGTAGAAAAGTAGTATCTATGTCTATTTTTTGCTATTGACTTTTGTACATAAGCAAAAAAATTATGTTAAAGCAAATAATTTTAATTTATGCTAAACTGGGCTTTTTGCCAGTCATCTCTCTAGTTTCTGCGGGACGTGGTATGCCTTCCATGGCCAGTGACCTTTGCTCCTGCTGAGGTTCCCGCCTGTCGTTCTTCCCAGAGTAGAGACTTCCGTAGGTGTTCTAGTTGCAGCGCGTCCCGTGCTGCCGTGGGTACCCCACGTGGGGCTTACTGCTATACCAGGCCCCCCAGCCCCCGCTTGTCAAAGCGTTAGGCTTTCAACAGCTGTCAATTCTCCTAAGATGAAATCCTGATGGAACATACCGTGTCTCCTCCTTACAGATTGGTTTTGCCATTGGCTCTTGGGACATCAGCAGAATGCATCATATAAGCAAATGGTTAAGAGCTGTGGGTCCTTACTGGGCAGCACTGAATGAAAAAAATGCCAACATGCCAAAATGCCTTGTAATACACATTTAGGCTGCATGATTCCTCCAGACATTCTTTCTAAAATATTTAAATATAGGGACCAGCAGTTAGCATAATGGCTATGTCGCTGGACTCCCACGTAGTCGACCACGGTTCGCGTCCCGGACCCGGTGGCTTAAAACTCACGCCGGGCGCGTGTGCGTGCATGCCCAAGATCCCAAGAGGAGAATGGAGGAGAAGGGACTGCGGCGTAGCCATCCCCCCCGGGGGGAGTGATTTCTCACTGTCTATCTCTCTGTCTCTCTCTGTCTATCTGGTGAGCGCACGCACCCTATAGCAAAAACCTCTCCAAAAAAAAAAAAAAATTTAAATATAAACAAATTTTGAGATGTGTCCAGTATTTTGCTAGCTAACTCTCCCCTGTGATTTTTGCCTTCTTACTATAACTGTAAAAACTTTAAGCCTACTGTTTATTAGGAATTCTTTAAAGGTAAAACTTACATGCATTCTGTTAGCTTTGATGTGATGAAAACGATGAGTTCTAACGATGTAGTGTGTGCTGCTGTAGGTCGGCATCCGGGTGAGTTTACCCACTGTGGATTTTGTTTAGAAAAAGAGAAAGTAGGCTTTTATATCATAAAGATGGTAAATGTTATCTTCCTATATTTTTTAAAAGTTAAATTAGTTTAATTTCTTGTTTTGTTTTAGTTTTAATATGCTTAGCATTGGGGGATTTTTTTTTTTAATGTTCGAAAATCAAAGTTAAGTGTTATTTCATGGCCTTTTTAAACTTGTAATACTCTAAACTTTTTCTGTAGCTCTCAGTGAAAGGTTACAATGACAAGCAGCCAATTTTGCTAAAGAAGATTATTGAGAAAATGGCTACCTTTGAGATTGATGAAAAGAGATTTGAAATTATCAAAGAAGCAGTAAGTTTTCAGAGTCACTTTTATAATTTTTTATTCGTGTAGTAATATGGTCACATTATGAAAACTTTTGAAAAAGCAGGAGGCGAGAAGGAAGCATCCATACCCTGTTGCATTTTCTTACCTCATCTTTGCTAAGGCTAGAAGCTGGTGTAGACTCCTGTCCGCCTTCCCTACGGGTTTCAAGGGCTAGTGTGGTTGCCACACTGACTTCAGCGAGAAGCACCTGGTGGCTGTCAGGGACTCCTTGAAGGTTTCAACCTAAATTCTGCCTATTCACAGGAACCTCATTACGACAGGGCCCAGTGCTGAGGTTTTACGTATCTTCACTCACATGCAGCCACATTTGTAGGGAAGTAGGGGTCTTTAGCTGCTTTTAAGCTGAACTCCAGCCTTCATTATACACTATATGAAACTACCATCAGTTTTCAAAGGAAGAGCCAACATTTTCCATATGCATTTGTCTCTTGGCGGGGACTGGTTCTGGGACCTCGAGGATACCCAAGTCCGTGGATGCCCAAGTCCCTGATACGAAACGCCACAATAACCTACACACACCCTCCCTCTTACTTCAAATCCTCTGTCGATGACCTAATACCTAATACAATAGAAATGCTGTATCCATCATTATTATATTTTTGGATTGTTATTTTTTATTATTTTTGTTTTATATCTTTGAACCACAATTGGTTGAATCCATGGATGGGGAACCCATGGCTACAGAGGGTCAACTGTAGGTGTGTCCATGTTACTCGCTTGTAAGGACTTTCTGGATAGCCTTTCCAGGGTAGATTGAAAGATGCCAGACGACAGCAGTCCTGAAACTAGGGCCAACTCTCTGAGTGGTTAAAGGTACCTCCATAGCGAAGGCACCCAGAGGACCAGAGTACATGCTGGTTGCTGGGGAGAAGGCAGCAGCCTGGACAAAGAAAAAGTATCCCCTTAACTCCACAGATCAGAGAGGAGTAGGCCCCATTCTTAATTCACTAACTCCAGGAAGGAGAAAGAAAGACTCCCGCAGCCCAGTAGCACATAATTATACAAAACGAAATCTGACTGTAGCTGATCTTTCTAAACCATTTTTGAAAGATGGATAAAATTAACGAGCCCGTGTCTCCCTGCACAGTATATGCGCTCTCTCAACAACTTCCGCGCTGAGCAGCCTCACCAGCACGCCATGTACTACCTCCGCTTGTTGATGACGGAAGTGGCCTGGACTAAAGACGAGTTGAAAGAAGCCCTGGATGGTGAGACTCTTCCTCTCCTCGAGGCCTAATGCTTTCCCCAGTTTTTCTAAAGTCGTTGTTGGTTTACTCTGATATCGAGCGTCTCTGCTTTTGAATGATTTGTTTCATTGCTGTCAGCTGTACACATCACTCTCAGGGCCGTGGCGGCCTTTGAAGTGCCTTTTGGGTCCCGGCAGTCTAGCCACGTTGGCTGCTGTCCACCTGGACATGCCACGGTGCGGTACTAGTGTTTGTGGATTCCTGCAGATGACTACGTGTTCTGACCCAAGCACTTGCCCATCAATATTGAAGTCTTCAGAAAAGAGAAAACGGAAAGTGCTAGAAAGTCATGCCATGCAGACACGCTCAGGCGTCTTTCCTGCTCTGTCATCTTTAGAGTTCAGTCATCTTTCAGTTCATTTAGAAGCTGAAAAATGTGTAAAGCCTAAAGAGTCCTCTTTTCTTGTTTTTTCTAAAATCTGACATCTAGTTTTCGACAGTGTTGCTTGAAAGCCCTAAATTCCCGGAGGGCAGTGATGATAACCTCCTTTCACCCCTGTATTTCCCATCACGGTACAGTGTTAGGCCCTCAGAGTGTCGAATGAACGCCTGCTGAGTGGAATGAAATTGCTTTCAGGCTTGCGTTAGTGGGAAGAGTGTAGATTGACATCACCCTTTACGATTGTTTTAACCTTTATTTTTTTGTTTTGAATTGACAAAAAGCACATGTGCCCAACAGAGAAAGATGAAGCACACACACACACACACACACACACACACACACACACACAAAACCGTGGACATGGGTGTGGTCATGCTGCAGTTCCTCTTTCTCCATTCCTTCCTCTCCTCAGGATTTTGGGTGTGCATGCTTACCTGCTTGGTGTGCTTTTCAAGTCACCGGGGCCAGGATTTGCCCCGCGGTTGGTCTGTGGGATCTGGCTCACAGTGCAGAGTGCTAAACACTGCTGTGAGGCCAGGCCTACATTGTTTTGTTTTTTTTAATAAAACTTTTAAATAATTATTTAATTTTTCTGATTGATGCATTTTTTAATTTCAATTTGACCAGAGAGGGAGTGAGAGAGAAAGTGAGAAAGCAAGACACCAGATTCAGGACTCGAACCGTAGTCGACCATGTGGGAATCCAGCGCCTTTAACCACCACACCATCTGCCAGCCCCAACCCTACATTGTTTTCATACTTTTTACTGCCCAACATTATTTACCAACATATCTTTCTTCCTACATGCTCAACCATAAGAATTAAAATTCAATTAAAAATAAGAATTTTGGGGGCCGGCAGGTGGCATAGTGGTCAAGGGTGCTGAACTACCACATGGCTGATTGTGGTTCGAGTCCTAGACCTGGCAGCTTGCTTTCTCACTTTCCCTTCTCTCTCATACTCTGTCCTTCTCTGGTCAAATTAAAATTGATTAATTAAATTTTAAAATAAAATAATTCTTAAGAAAAAGACTTTTGTTGAATTTTTAATAATCTTTTAGGACAGTGTCTTCATTGACAAAGTATTGAAAATATTGTTTGGGGACCCAGCAGATGACATGGTGGTTAAGGGCACTGGATTCCCACATGGCCGACTATGGCTCGAGTCCTGGGCCTGGAGGCCACTGTCAGTGTCTTAGTTTTGATTGTCGTGTTATGGTAATGAAAAATATCAACATTAGGGAAAACTGGGTGAAGATTTCTCTGTCCTTTTTAAAACTTTTTGCCATAGGGTGCAGGTGCTCACTGGAGAGAGACCCCAGGGGTGATGACCATGCCACAGTCCCTTTTCCATTCTCCTCTCAGGATGTGGGTGCACACAGCATGATTTTCAGACTGCTGGATCCAAGACTTGAATCACAGAGTCAGACATGTGGGACCCAGCCACCTTAACGTCTGCGCCACCTGCTGGCCCTTCTCTGTGCTGTTTTTGCAAGTCTTCGATTTTCTCAAAATCAAAGTTCAAAAAGTAAAAAAAACCTGGTTAGAACTCACTGTTTATTTCACACCTTCACAGATGTCACCCTTCCCCGCCTTAAGGCCTTCATACCTCAGCTTCTCTCACGCCTGCACATCGAGGCCCTTCTCCATGGAAACATAACAAAGCAGGTGGGTAGCTGACATTTCAGTGGTCTTCTGGGGGTCCCTGCAAGGGATTCTCCCCTCGTCTGTCCCAGGACTGTTACCATCACGGTGTGCTAGTGAGCCCACTGGGGCTCTCAGCCTCGCTGTGGAGGAGGGTGGCAGGGCGTGGGGAACGAGAATGATGTGGTACCCAGACACCCCTCACCGTTTCATGGCTGCCACCTCTGCCGTTGCCTGCCTTGTGCAGTCACAGGAAGAAATGGGAGTTTTGGGTTTGTTTTGTTTTGTTATTTCCTCCATAGATCCCCACTATAGGGTATGTGCATTTGCCACAGACAGAGAGAAAGCAAGAAATTACTCCCCAGGAGAGACAGCCATGCCAGAATCCCCTCAACTCCATTCTCCCCTGGGATTCTGGGTACAGAAACGCGCCTGGCATGAGCCTTAAGCTGTCAGGTCCAGGACTCGAACTGTGGTCAGCCACATGTGAGTTCAGTACCCCCACCACTCCGCCACCTGCTGGCCCCAAGAGTTTTTTATTTTTTAATTGCCAGAGGGCACATGGCACTTGCTAAAGACAGACAGAGACAAAGAGAGCGGGAGAAAGCACCCCCAATCGGGCATGGTTACACCCCATTTCTCCTCTCTGTGTCTGCATCCTGTTGGGATCTGGGCTACACATGCGCGTGTACCTGGTGTGTTTTTTTCTATTTTTATTTTATTTTATTGGAGAGGTTTTTGTTATAGGGCACATGTGCTCGCCAGAAAGACAGAGAGAGACAGAGAGACAGAAAGCGAGAAATCACCCCCCTCCCCCCAGGGGAAATGGCCATACCACACTCCCTTCTCTTCCGTTCTCCTCTCACGCACACACGCCTGGCATGAGTTTAAGCCACCATGTCCAGAACTCGAACCTGGTTGACTACATGGGAGTCCAGCAACATGGCCATTACGCCATCTGCTGGTCTCCCTGGTGTGTTTTTTCAAGCCACCAGGACTGGGATTCAAACTGCTGTCATCTGGTAAGATCTGTTCCCCTTAACCACTGGGCTATGGGGCTGACCTCGGTCTCCATCACTCTGCTATCCTGTCTCCAAAGTGTATGTCCAAGGTCAGATGCTCATAAGTGGCCAAGATGGATTCTTACAAGGTCAGGTTCGCCGCGAGGAAGCCTGTGCAGCTCCTGTGCCTGCCCGTGACCCCAGGCGTCTGCGGTCAGGGTCGTTCACTTAGAGCCAGTTACCTACCAGCTTTGGCAGCACCTCGATACCAGCATGAGCCTCAGCGTCGGTGGTCGTCTGGGTCTTGGTTTCTTTTCATGACCACCTTATTGACTATGTTGCAAATCGACTATACTGACAAATTCCATTTCTTTTTCATTTGAATAAGATCAAATTAAGATTTAAAAATCCATTTCGTGATGAACTCTGCTAGTTGATTTCACAGGCAGGTTGTTTTCTTCTTGCAGTGGGCTCCCATCCCACTCCCATTGTGCTGTTTTTATCTTCACGGACAGGCTGCGGCTCTGTGGTAATACGTGGTGATTCATTTCTTTCCCCAGGCTGCTCTCGGAATCATGCAGATGGTTGAAGACACCCTTATTGAATATGCACACACCAAACCCCTCCTTCCAAGCCAGCTGGTTCGGTATAGAGAAGTCCAGCTCCCTGACAGTAAGTTGAGATGCTATAACTTTAAAATAGACCAGTTTGGCATAAGAACGCAGGTGACCATGGTGCACTGACTTCACGCGGATGATAGTGTCTTGTTTTGGGGCAAAGCTCCGTGAGCTCCTCTACTGTTTACAGAGGTAGAGTTAGGGGTCACATTCTGTTGGGTCGTCGGAAAAGTCATGACATATTTTTCTATGTTTTTCTATGCAAAAATGCAACATGACTTTTCCAACGACCAATAATTCCTCTCTGATAAGGCCAGAGAGGTGCAGTAGGAGGTAGACAGTGATTTTAAAGAGACTGACGCTGGAATTAACTATTACTAGAGTGAGGGCATTCGGAAGTAAAAATATCACAAAACTAAGAAGTATTAACTGTGAAGCATGAAATAAAATTTACTTTAAAAAACAAAAGGGAACCAGCAGTTGGCATAATGGCTATGTCACTAAACTCCCATGTAGCCGACCACGATTTGAGTCCCAAGTTCGGTGGCTTAAACTCACGCTGGGCGCGTGTGCGTGCGTGTGCAAGATCCCAAGGGGAGAATGGAGAAGGGATTACGGCGTGGCTGTCTCCCCTGGGTGGTGATTTCTTGCCATCTCTCTGTCTCTGTCATTGTGGCAAGCGCACATGCCTTATAGCAAAAACCTCTCAAAACTAAAGGAGACCAGGAGCATAATGTTTAATTGGAAGGCCACACGAGTCTTCGGCAGGAAGAGTTTTCGGAAAGTCACGGGTGCAGATGTGCCTCCAGCACATGTATATTTTTATGAGTGATTAACATAAGTCAGTTTAGTTTGTATATTAGGGTTTGCCGTGTTGAGTTACTTTTCTCTCTGCATTCAGAGTGTGTGCACACGCGTGTGAGAGGAGCGTGCGCCACAGAGTCGGGTCACATTGTGACCCTGTCCTGCTGTCCTCCAGCCCGCCAGGCCTGGGCCACTCGTGTGCGAGCCCTGCGTATTTCAGGCTGACTGAGCCAGGGATTGAACCGGGTCTGCCTGTGCGGCCAGGCTTCTGTTGAGCAGCGTATTGTCCCTGTACCACGGAGCTGGCCCAGTTGGCTTACTTTTATGGGAACAGTGGTTTCAGTATTGTTCAGAATTGTACAATGTGAAGTCTATGAGGTGTTCGTGGAAAGTTCATGGAAAATGCAGTTGAAGTACAAGATTATTTCAGTGCAAAAAAATCGGAAACCTATGCATAGATTTTTCAAAATAGCATTTTCCATGTACTTTTTGAAGACCCCACATATTCTACCATGAATGAGAAACACTGATTTTTTTTTTTTTTCCCTACCTCAATGGTTGGCTGTTTCCCATGCATGCATCATCTGTGATTTTTCCTCCCCAGCTAGTTTGTCTTCTTGAATGGTCTTCTCTTTCCATCCTCCTCCCGCAGGAACCTTGGTTTCCACCCTACTTATCCTTTCAGGCCAGTAGTTAGGGCTTCTGCTTCTGACCTCCCAGTGCACGGTTCTGAGCGCGCCGTGAGCCGGCTTCTCAGCACCTCTGCCCCGCGTTGGGATTGTTAGGATCGAGGGCCACCCCGTCTTCTTGTTAGACTGCATGTTCCTCGAAGCCGGGACCTGCCCTGGCTCACCTGTGTAGCTGCCAAGGCAACACCAGCACGTTGTTACCTCGGGAAAGCTTTGTCGCACGCGTAGGGACCCTTGAGCACAGCTCTACCCCTCAGTGTGGCCAGCTGTTGGACACCTGGCAATGGTTTGTTGCCGAGTCACTACAAGCAGGGCAGAGAGGAAGGATCAGGATCTGTTATTCAAGAGCCAAGCTCGTGTCTTCAGACAGAGTGAGGCCAGTGTAGGATGGAAGTTCAAAGTGAAGCTCGTCTTTCATACTGCTTTTCACTCCACTTCCCCCTTTCTCCTCTCCCAAGACCCTATCTCTTTTGCTCCAAAGTGTCCTCCCAAATTGCTTCATGCTCAAAAAGAGTTCCTGTTTCCAAAATGCCAGGCATTAGGACATCACTCTGAGTTAGCCAGCTGGTCCAGTAGGAAT